TATATTAGCGTCTGTGAGGACTGACATATAACAATCAGTGTTTTATTAATGTCTGTGAGGACTCGTATATAACAATTAGTATTATATTAGCGTCTGTGAGGACTGACATATAACAATCAGTGTTTTATTAATGTCTGTGAGGACTCGTATATAACAATTAGTATTATATTAGCGTCTGTGAGGACTGACATATAACAATCAGTGTTTTATTAATGTCTGTGAGGACTCGTATATAACAATTAGTGTTATATTAGCGTCTGTGAGAACTCGTATATAACAATCAGTGTTTTATTAATGTCTGTGAGGACTCGCGTATAATAACCAGTTTTATATTAGCGTCTGTAAGAACGTATTTGAAGAGTCCGTGAACATAGTAGGAACCTGTAATACTCATGTCCATATGGTGTAATTTATATCTGGGGACATATGTTACACAGGACATACAAGAAATGAACTACTTCTAGAACGTGTTGTTGAGACTGAGTCGCGCTTTCCCGAGAAGTATGTTTCAGGAATTTCACCATCTTATGGTTTATACTCTTGTCAAACGTTTTTCAGAAATCTCTTGTAAGCATTACGCATTTTCCAATGAAATGATGTATACGTTTAATAATAAACTGTTAGCGCACGGGGGAAGCTAAGCAGACCATATCTGTTGTGTGGAAACTAATGTGTTACATTTTTTTTACATTTCTGTAGTGACACAATAATGGTTATTTATTAGGACATTTAAGATAAAGGTCTACTACGTCAACAAAAATTACTATTTATGAAAAATGATGCTCAAAAAATCGTCAAAGAGGGGAGAGGGGGATTAAAAATGACTTGCATATATATATATATATGTGTGTAATATATTCACGTTATTGTCGTTGTCGTTAGTCTACATTTTACAATAAGTAACAGTTTCAACACACGAAAAAAAGAAAAACGATTGAAGACTGTCTCAAGAAAAGGTTTAAAATAAATGACATAACAGATAAAAATAAAACAAACTACCAACTCTACAACATTAGAAACTACTGTATGTCTATATGTTTGTACGCAGCGAAATGAAGATAATTGACTGGAACCATTATTAGTACTTACTAGCTGTAAGTCTGAGCTGAAAGAATTGGGTTATAATGGAAATGGATTTAATTTTCAGTAAATAGATTGCATATTTAATCTACATATAAAACCAAACATGTAAGTATCGGGTCGAAACTTTTATTCTCTTACGACTTGTCGCTAACGGCAACGAACTGGCTAGGTGTTAAGTGGAAACGGTGGTGAGCGGTTTACTTTCCAGGATTATTTAAGTCTGTTTCGCTGGTTGTAGTCGCAGTTCAGTTTATGTAAATCAGATCCCTAGGTATTCGCACAGAAATAACGCTTCTCTTTGATA